CTATTATAATGTGAAAGTGCTCCAAAAAAGAGCCCTCGGGGCATAATTCAGTGGTACAAATGACAGGAGTGAGGTAGTCTCAGTCTTGTTGGCAGTCGCAGTGTGAAGGTTCGGTCCTTGAAATATGAAATTAAACTCTTTGTGGGCACCAGTGTATGAGTAAACTCTCGTTCCCTGACCTATTGAGGCACATCCCGCGATTTACGTCCCTCACGATGCTGCAGGGGTGGGGCGGTGGGAACTCTCAAAATTGGGATTTAACTTTAAAGTGCTCCAAAAATTGTGAAAGTACTTGTCAAGTCAGCATTTTGTAAAGTAAAGTGTAAACAAAATTGTTCAAATAGCAAGCTCCTTTTCTCAATATGTGGAGTCTCGTGAGTTGATCTTATCTTTTGCTTATTTTAGGTGGTTTAATAATTATAAATTCAATTAAAGTCAAATATTAATTTTGATTTTACTTTCATAATTACTATTCATTATTATCTACACATTTCGTGAAATTTACAAAAATAATGTTATTTTCAGCAACGCACTATCACAGTCGCCCGACGTGGTATACATGTGGCGGTTAGTGATTTAATATACGAGACAAGAAAAACCTACTATATTGATAAATCAAATCACAAGCTGTCACGTAGGATGTTATATAGTGCAATTACTGTAGTGAACAACTATAAATAACATTACTTAATCTACAGTTATTCCTCTTATTACTTCTCTTTATAAACTATTTACAAATTTGTCAAACGGAAGCTTAAACTTTTTATTGTTGATGAATTTGAAAGAAAGACGAGTACTTTGAGACTTGCGCTTTGATGCTTTACTCATTTCATGCTCGATAAAATTATGGAAAATCGTTTTTTAACCTTTCTTCCTAATTCTTTCACACCAGAGCTCGATAGTTAGCTCTCTCTCTCTCTCTCTAACTAACATTACAGAAGGTGTGAGAGTACATTAGAAAAAAGTATTAAGCCATTTGTATATAAATTTTTTCACAGAATTTGGCCAAATTACTCTCATGCGTGGGACCCATCGTGAATAAAAAAATTGTCAAAAAAACCCCCCACCACTCCCCTATGTGTATATTCTGGCAGGCTTCTGTATGAAGCCTGCTGTACACACAGCAGGGTTGTAGAAAAAAATGTACTTTTTGAAGAATTTTCTGTTGTGAATACAAATGTATCATTATTATACTTCTACAACTGTAAATTTTTGGTTTTCCATTTTAATACTAAGAGCATGTTTGGTTGTGCCTTATCCTCCAAAAGATTAATTAACAATTATTTTCTTCAAACATAAGTCCCGTTAATTTTATTTTATATAAAAAAAAAAATCAGTTTTAACTTAAAGCTGAGTCATTTAAATAGAGCTATGTTCAAAACATATTAGCAAGAGAAATACAATTTACCCTTCATTTAGTAAAGATTAAAAATAGTCATCATTTGATTTCCATTATTTCCAAAATAAAAGCTTTTTAACATATTTTAATAAAAGTTGTTGAAATATGAGGTTGAAATGTTGTAAAGTTCATGAAACATGTGGTTAGAATTTATCTTTGATAAAAATATAGATTTTAATTCATACCAAACAGGGGTTAAGTGGTCGTTTCTCGATTAAAAAAAGAATTAAATAAAATTTTAAACTTTAAAAAACCCATAAAAAAAGTTGAGATCTATTGTCCAACTTTTACAGTTCAATTTTGATGTCCATCTGATCAATTATTAACACATCATATTGTGAAAAAGATATTTAACAGTGTTAAATAGTTGTTATAATGAGAAATAAAAATTGATGATACGCAGGGCCGGACCCACATGGGGTCAAATGATCCCCCACAAAATTTTGCCACCTTTTTTTTATTTTTTTTATTTTTTCAATTTACTTTGATGCATTCGTTGGGATGTCAAATGAAGTCAAAATATTGCATTATTAATAACATTTCGAAATGCTCATGGCATAGTTTTTTACTCATTAATGGCATGCGTAGTGGTCAACTACAACAAAAGTTATGACATGTTAAAGCAGGCGTTTGAAATTAGTATTTTGATAATTTCGATAATATCCTAACTTTAAAAATTCGTTTGCGATCATGTGCTATCTGAATCCACAAATTGTCTATGTCATGTGAAAATTTGTTTCGAAAATTATATCGTTTTCATATGGAATGGTCCAAACGGATATCGAAAATAGTTAAATATGTATCAAACGAACGTCTCAAAATAGACATCTAACTCGTCTTTTCTTTTAAAAAATTCAATTAATTATCATTTTTGCACGATAAATTTTTTAATATTATTTATATCGTTTCATTCGGAAGTCTTACATGAAATATGACGTAAATTTTTTAGGATCGTTACGAATTAAATGCAATTGGAATTACTTTCGAATTATATTTGCTTTAAATTTGAATTTCATTTATTTATTGAACTAAACTTGAATTTTATTTCAATTTATTTAATTTCTATATTCAATTTAATTCACTCAATGTTAGCTCAACATTTGCCAGTGAAATGATAAACAAAAATATACAAGTAGCAAAATTTATTTAATAATATTAATAACGATGTAATTATACGACGTTTTCAAAGTGTCAAAATACATATTAACTCATTTTTATTGATATTTTGTTGTTTATTAAAAAAATCATTTTTAAAATTTTGACCCCACAATACTAAAGATCTGAATCCGTCCCTGATGATACTTCAATAATTAATTGAATGCAAATTGAAGAGCGAACGTCGGACCTCGTATCTTGACTTTAAAAAAAAGGTTATAACTATTCTAAGGTAAGGCAACGGATTTTAAATAAACACGTGGCAGTCAATGCGGGAACCCGAAATTGATTTTCTATCAAATGCTTCCTCTTCACACCCCACGCATTAGACAAGAAACCGGACGGCGCGGTAGTAGCGCCGTTACGTACTGTTACTGATGGTCGTGCTTCTTCATTCTTCACCTTTTATTTTTTAATATTTATATTATTTTTCTCAGGTATTGATAATTTAATTTCTAGAGTATATTGGAAGAAAGTAGTTCTATAATTCATAATGATTAGGCGAAACCAGAATTAATAAATTGCGAAGCTCGCAAATTTTTGGAGGACTTTGAAAGAGGAGTTTAAGCTTCCGTTTGGTAGCAATTATTTAAAAAAAATTCAATTCTTGACTTCTTCACTCATAATTACTACCAAACAGGTCCTAAGTAAAAATCAAATAGAATTTTATTCAAGTAGACGTTGGAGTTAGTAAGAAATAAACATATTACTAAACCTATTTTAGTAAACATTTTTTTGCTCCCTATTTTAATTCATTATTTCACAAGTTTTCATTTCGACATATGCTTTGCATAGTTGGTGACGAGATCTGGAAATTGATAGCAAGAATATACTTCGACTATCAAGAAATATAGCATGAAAATAAGCCAAAATTAGTGATGTCTACAAATTAGATTTATAATATTCATTTAATGTAACAACTTGTATATTGCTATCAGGACCTTGTCGCTTAGCAATTTTACAAATTGAAAAGTATATTAGGAAATACGTCATAAGTACTTCAAAGCGATTTTAAGAACATTTTCAAATGTTCAAAATTGATCCACAAACTAGCTCGATGATATGGGCAAACTGCAAATTTGGCGGGCCCACCTTTGGTTTTCGATCTGCAACGATGGTGTTTTATGTTGTCAGGGCACAATAGTTTGAGATGTTAACAATATTGTGAGATTATATAAACATGACATTTAAGGACTACGAGCCTATACAATGTCATGTCGGAATTCTAATATACAAAAGTAGTTTTCTATTTTTATATTTGGTGTGGCTTAAAATTTAGTTAAAAATTTTAATTTAAATTATTAATAATATATTTTATGGAATTCACAATTTTTTTAATTCACATTTTAGCAACTTTTATCAAAATCAAATATAATCTAATTTTTAGCTACAATAAATAAATCAAAATTGCTAAGTGCTTTATTTTTTACAATTTGCATTAATATGTAATCAATTAATATGAATTTTTAGTCCATGTTTGATCTTTACCTTTTAAAATTTAATTTTTATAAAATTCATTTTTATTCGCAAATTTCAATAGATTAACGGTTTTTACATTTTATCAACACATGTCATCAAAAATTTTTTATCAAAATTTATTAAAATTTTATTTTTATCAAAACATGGACTTATTTAGATAACTTAAAGCATTTTCAAGAAATTTTCTATTTTTAAAGAGCATATATCATGGATTGCAGAAGTTTTCAACCATACATTTCATCAGTTTTTATCAAAATCTACTAAAAATGTGATTTTATTCCCCATCAGACTCCAAATCTTCATAGGCTAGTATATAATACTCCGTGCAACTTATGAGTCCAAAAGGGCTCTCAAATTGTCACTCAATCTCAAATCCATCAAGGTTCATAAAGTATCACACGCTACAAAAAGGGATGAAAGAAGGCACGTATATATCTTTCTCTAGGATTGAAATTTTACGCTGACTAAAATTCTCGAAATCTTAAGTGAGTATTTTAGGAGTCATTAAGGATATTATAAATAAATAAGAAAATCCCTATTGATATACGAAATGAAATGGTGTTTAGAGTCCAACATAAGATCAATCGCTATATATACTATGCCCCTGTTTGAGCCCTATTTTGAGAAAAAAAATGCATTTTTAAATATTGTATTGATAGAAAATGAATGATTAAAAAATAAGAAAAAGTTTTGAATTTGCGTGTACTATCATTTTATTGAAGAATGTGTAGTTGAAATGATGTCAAAATGATATTTAATAATACATATTTTTCCAAAAAATAGGGGTCATGCAAGGGCTATAAAAAAATTCATCGGTAGCAACGATATATAATTTAATATATTGAAGAATGTGTGGTTGAAATGATATCAAATTACTGTTGAAGAATGTATTTTTTTGAAAAAATGTGGCTCAAACAGGGCCCATATGTGAAAAACAAGACTTCTTTTTCCCATTAATGAATAAAACTAAAATTAACCTAAATCTTTGAATATTTTTGAAAAAATCTTTGAACTGAATTACTATATTATGACTCTATTTGATCCACATTTTTTCTAAAAAAATACATTATTAAACAATGATTTGACATTATTTCAATCTGATATTTTTTAATAAAATAATATTATACACAAATCTAATTTTTTTAATTTTTTAATCACATATTTTTTATCAATATACTATTCAAAAATACATTCTTTTGAAAATAATCTATCTACCTCTAGAAATAGTTTCCATCAAATGTAATGATGTGTTAGAGAGAGTCATTTTCGACGTCAAAAGATAATGAGAGAAAGAGATGGAAACTTGGCGTCTTTTGTCCTCTACGCAGCTTAAATCCCGCAGCAAGCCTAATCTACTCACTCTCATTGACACGTTTCAACTTCTCATAATGTCTGTCTCTCTCTATCTCTCTCTATATATGTGTATGTATAGGTGTGTGTATAAATATACATTTCCTTAAAGAAAACATGAGGTTTGCTAGCAAAATTCACGAGATGAAGGAAGATAAATTAAGGGTTTATCTCATGTTTGCTTCACGCAAGGAGCTATATGGGGTTTGCTTCATTGCGTGGCTTCAAAGACTTCATTTTTAGAGTTTATCCCCAACCCACCATACTCCACCCCACCTCCCCAAACACAAATATCACCAAACCCTAAAAAACCCATCCTCTCTTTCCCTTCAGAAAAACTGTATTTGTGTGATGTTTTCCGTGCCATCGAGGTAAATCTACAAGAAAATGAGTGGAAACCCTAGTGGAAGTAACAACGGCGGTGGAGGCAGCAGCAGTGGAAGCAGTGGCGGTGGCAGTCCATGTGGGGCATGCAAGTTCTTGAGGAGGAAGTGTGTAGCTGGATGCATATTTGCACCATATTTTGATTCGGAACAAGGCGCAGCACACTTTGCAGCTGTCCATAAAGTGTTTGGAGCCAGCAATGTGTCGAAGCTTCTTCTGCATGTTCCGGCAAATAAGCGGCTCGAAGCGGTGGTTACGATATGTTACGAGGCTCAGGCGAGGCTTCGAGATCCCGTCTACGGCTGTGTTTCCCACATTTTCGCCCTTCAACAACAGGTAAATATATATACTCCTATTTTTTGGTAGCTTGTATCGTAAATTAGTTAAAATCTTGTTTATTAAAATAACCAATCAAGTCTAGTAATCTACGGTGCACTCGACCATACTTTTCGGGCTGATCTTAGACCTTGACTAGTCATCCGTCTAGCGAAAAGACTAAAATGTCCCTAACATGATTAGTGGCTTATTCATGGTTTATCCTTAAAAATATGTCCTATCATGGTTGGTGAACTAAGAATATATAATCCCTCTCCTTCGGTTACAAACTTTCTGTTGCTTCCTGCTTTATCCTCTTACCAGCTGAACTCAAGAATGGTGATTATATACATTTGCATATATATGAAAGTATTTTCTTCTTTATTTTCTGTGCATGCACTATAAATTATTAAAAGATTTTTCCTTTCGGATTCATTTTTTCCCCCTTCCCAGACGATAATAAAATATATATTCCCGAATTTGTCAAACAAAACAATAATCTGTCACAGCAGATTGTCAACTTCGCAATAATTCTTCTCTAGCTAAAAAGAAACATAGACAATGTTTGGAAGCTGTGTATATTATATTAGTCTGATTAAGCTGTCATTGAGTAGGTTTGAAGGTTTGAGTTGGCTTATGTACCTTGGATGTGGCTCTAGGGATCATATTTACATATTATTATTATAAGAATAAAAATATGAATTTGTAAATATTTTATCGACTTTTCAACAAGTCGAATTTCAACTTCTACCACACATTTTATCGGATCTACAAATTTTATCAATTTTAATTCATTTGCTTATGTAGGTTTGACCCGTCTTTGACTCTGCTTTCTTGTGACTCCCTATGAGCTGTTTTACTATCCTACTTTTTGGAGGGTCGGCGGGACATGGGGATTCTAGGGTTTTTCGGAACTTAAACTTAACATTTTATCAACTTTTATAAAAAAAAATAATGTTACATCTTTTATAAAAAACTATCAAACGACCTTAAAGAAGATTGAGGAATGGAGGAATTAAATTCCATTCGGTCTAAATTAAAATCAGTTTTTCAGTAAATTTTGATAAAAATGGATGACACGTATAATCGAAGATTTTAATTTGATTTCAATATGCACAAAATATGGGCTAAACGTGGACCATGATGTGGTGCATTGGGGGAACAGTTTAGTGGTTTGCTGAAATCTATGAACTTGATGGATTTGATTAACGTAGGATGTGGTCTGTGGTCATTACACTTTTTTCTGTGCAAATTCTATGATTTTGCTGATATTGAGGATATGGTCTGTCATTCTGGGCTCCTCGGTTCAGCACATTATACTATTCAAAAACTATTGCCTCCTGTTTACAAGAAATCACCATTTTTTTTTTTTTTTCAACTAATGAAAAATGAGAACAAAATTGCCTCATTTTAAGGCCGGGAGCACGGGAGAGGAAAAAAGAAGATATCACACTCTTCATGAGATCAAACTTCAAGTGCAGAATCTCTATATTCGTTGTTTGATTTGGTTAAAAATCAGATTTTAGTATATTTTAATAAAGTTGATGAAGTGTGTGGTTGAAAAGTTGATTAAAGTTATGATTTCCATAAAATGTATGATTGGAAATGTATTTGAGAAAAATGAGTTTAAAAAAATTGGGACCACAGATGGTAGAAATTGTTATTGAGTTGACAAACGAGACGAAATGGTTCTACTAGCTTCAAAATTAACGTCGATTACTTAAACCAATAGCAATGATGTGACTACCGATTTAACTTCGATAAATTAGATTGAGATTCTTGGTTGTTAGAAGTATATTATTTTTTATTAATTTGCAATTTGTAATTTTGGGTTTACATCAAATTCAAATTAAATGGGATTTTTTAAGTAGGGATTTATTTATTTATTTTTTTTTTTGAAAAAAAGAAAAATGAAAAAAAAAGGCTTATGGTTCATTAGTTAATAATTAAACATATATATTTAACAACTATTTATAAGTGCTCAATTCTTTTTGGGCATTGGCGTTGCAGGTGGTGAATCTGCAGGCAGAGCTCTCTTACTTAAAAGCTCATCTGGCGGCGCTGGAGCTCCCAACACCACTACCGCCACCTCCAACACTGCCGCAGCCACTATTAATACCATCCGCAACCCTATCTATGTTCGACTTGCCTACAGCGCCACCAACCTATGATTTTTCATCACTATTTGATCCAATGGTGACAATGCCGTCAAGGCAAATTGATCATCATCTGCTGGGTGCCACCAGAGCTCCGCCCGAGATATCATCATCGGCTGGTGGCGGAGGTGGAGGTGATCTTCAAGAACTGGCTCGTGAACTACTGTACAGGTGTGGACCTCCAACTGTTGAAGCTTCATCTTTGCCAAACCCCTCTAAAGACAACTTATAACTATGGTTATAAATTATAATATTTGCCAGGTCGAATTGAAATACTAACTCAACCATATGTTAGTTTATATGAATGTCAAGGATTTTGTATGGTTGAATTACTCGTTTACTCTTAATTAATTTATTATCTTGAATTAGCACAAAATTTATACATCTCTTTAAATTAAGGAAAACAAAATAATCTCATAAGAAAATATTGAAAGTCATTCAAAATTTAGATTTTATATAAACAAACATTTTTGTTTATTTAATAATCTACGATAATGTTACGCATGTGCAAAATAAGATATAAACAATTAATTTTGTCTCTGAGTGTTAGGTTCATGGAAATTACATCTCGATGAGTTTTGTTTGTGAGAAATTAGAAATTTTTTCACAATGGTCTTTAGTATTATTTTTGGGAAAAAAATGTATAGGTGTAGTGCCTCTACACTGCACAAAAACCAGCAAGTAGGTTCACAATCTATTGTTGGTTCCAAATTTCCTCGATATTTTACTTTTATAGAAGCTCGATCATCATTAGATGGGGTCACTTATTTACACGATGAAATGTCATTTATTTATTTTTGTTAAAGGGGCAATAGACCTCATTTTGATTTGTAGGTATTTTCGGTCCCAATAGTAAACAAAATAATAAAAAAAATTGCAAGAACACCAAATATTTTTCGCCCTTAGGCCCAGATGTTCACCCACAAAGGGCTAATCACCACGTTGAGTATCCACTTTAAGTGGTTATCGCTCCAATCCACTAGAACCAGCAAAAATATCAAGTGTTTAAGGATTACAAACAATAGATCTTAAAAGATCTAGCTCTCAGACTCTGTAAAGTTTCGGATTCTCACTCACACAGATTACACCAAAATAATCAGTACCAAACACTCAATCAGTAAGTAGAATCATCACACAAATACTGTAATCTATACTAGATCTCACCAAGAACACCTAGGAACCAAGAGATTATAGACAAAAACCAAGAGTTTTCAAGAAGAGACGAACAGAGAACGAAGACCCACAAAGAACCCTAGAAGTCTCTCGAATGAATGAGGCAAGTGAAGAGTTTAGGGCAAGGTAAATGAAAAATCATTTGCATTCAGCAGTTCAGCCGACTCCACCTGGCATCATCTGATCCATTCAATTAATACAACTAAAGTCGCATTTACAAGAGAAACACGAGACTGCACAAGTGAGGGCAAACCGGGTCACATTCAGTTAAAAAGGCCACTCCTTTTTGGGCTGCATCATTGGGCTCCAACAAATGTCGAGCATAACATCCAACATGATTCAAATAAAAAGCAAAAAACAAAAGAAAAGTAATTGGAAATGAGAAGAAGAGGAAAAACAGAAAAACATAGGTTGACTGGGACTAAATAGACAAAAACAATCCAACATGGGACTAATTTTAGTGTGAATCTTGTAAATGAGTTGGTATAGACTACTCTTCTCTTCTCTATTCATTTTTTACTATAATTAGGTGATGTCCAAAATGGATAGAAACTATACAATAAGGACTAATTTGCTATGAAAAATAAATTTGGAGCTAATTGTTAAATCTCAAGTAACTTTCTCTAAACTAAAAGTTGAATTACTTTTATCCCGCCTGTGAAATGCTTATCAAAGGACTTTGCAGTTTAAACAATGAGTACAACATTATACCCATGTTTTGTATCACATAATCGTAGATAAGAATAAGAGATGAATTCTCAGAGGGAGTCTGATATGAGAATAATTACGTGCTTTATGTGCATCATTGCAAGAAAGCATAAATTTATGCTATAAGATGAAGTCTTTCAATTCTCTCTTTTCTATATTTATTTTTTTCTTGTTCGAGATAAAGGATAAAATATATACTTTTTTTATTGTAAATATTGAATGGAAAACATCTTTCCCCATTAATTTCTCTTTGTTTTCAAGTTTTCCTTCCAAATCAAAGACACGAATAAAAAGTTATTCCTCGGTCAAAATAGAAAAAAAAAAAAAAAAAAACTATGGTGCTTAAAGCAAGTAAGATTGAGGATGTCAACTGCAATTTTTAGCCAAATTATTTTTGCACGTTTATTTTAATTTATAAGTTAAAGCACCGTTTGATTCAACTAAAAATTTGAATTAAAATATAAATCAAAGTCAACACTTATTTTAGCCAAATTATTTTTACACGTTTATTTTAATTTGTAAGTTAAAGCACCGCTTGATTCAACTAAAACTTTGAATTAAAATGTAAATCAAAATCAACAATTAATTATAATAACATATTTTATGAAATTCACAACTTTTCAATTACACATTCCTTTAATTTTTATCAAAATTTATTAAATTTTTTTTTTAATCTAAACCAAATAGGGGCTAAGTGTTATCTTTTAATTATATGTAAAAGTTTTTTTTTTGAATAATATTTAAAGTTACTTTAAAATAAAAATTACTTATTTCAAAGATAAAGAGATAATTTTTTTTTCAAAGAAAAATTTGCAATAAAATGTGTATCATAAAACTACTAGCTCCATTAAAAATAGGTTTTGAGGAAAAATATATTTTTAAATAGTGATTTTTTGGAGAATATGTAGTAAAAAAATAAGAAAAAGTTTTAGATTTATAAGTAATATTATTTTATTAATGAAGAATGTGATTGAAAATAAGATAGAGAAAAATGCAGTTTCAAAAAATAATTTTGTTAGTTGTATATCACTTTTTATCACCTTATTGACAAAAAAATGTGTTTACAAAACTTTATTGGATGAAAAATAATTTTTTTAATGTCCAATCATTCTATCAAAGAAGCTATCAAATAGGATGTACGTCAAGTATGATTGTTAAAAAAAAAATGGAGCCCCAACAAGGGCAAGAGCTCATTATTTTAAAACTTATTTTCCTTCAAACTTATTTTTTTACCATACATTATCTCAATAAAATAATATACATGTAAGCTTAAAATTTTTTCCCACTTTTAACCATACAATCTTCAAAAATAAAAATCAATTTTACAAAATTTATTTTTCAACAAAATGGAGCTCAAAGAAAGGCATATATGTTTTTAAGTAATTTCTTAATGCTTAGTCAGACACGCTTAAATCTCATTTAATCCAATATTAATCAGTAACTAATGGAGATGGTTTTGTTGATTTACAGGAGTTCTTGAATGCCATAGAACTTGATAATGATGCCATTGGTATTAATATAATGAGCGCTTTTAGTGTATTTGATGCTGATAAAAAATGGGTTAATTTCCGCTAAGGATTTGCATATGGTTTTAACATTCATGGATGTGCAGTCTTAGAGACTGCCATCTAAAGATCAAAGGGGTAGATAAAGATGGTGATAGATTTGTAAATTTTGAAGAATTTAAATTAATGACGAGTGAAAGATGCAATGTTTGATATCTTTTGTCGATGATTCAATTAAATAAATAAATAATTGCGTTCAGTATTGCATAAGTATGAAAAAACATCCGAGTTCAAGTCTTATTTTCATCTCCATATAAAATTGTCCACATGTAAGGGATAAAATGTGTTGAAGACACAATTTAAGTAAATCTACTATATACCTCTTAAAAGAGGGACTTTGATTCTACTATTCATTTATGTCACATAGCTTTTCACACTGTATTCAATTTATCCGGTTGTGTTACAGTAATATATTCCTGTGACACGCTTTCTTCTCTGGACCACACATATGCTTGCGTTTGAGCCCCGTTTTAGTTCATTTTTCTACATTTTCCAACCTTTTTGAACGCTTGTCTTTGTCAGTCAATATTCAATTGGAAGGTTGCCTGCATACAATTGGCCCATAGGACCCAACGGCCTACAACTATTGATTGTAGAAAATGGAGTAGAGAGGCTTTGAACATTGCCTTTGCCACTGTAAGAGGGAACGCTTATGTTGGATGGACCTAATGAACTTCTGGAAAATTTTGAAG